AGATAATTTACATGACTTTTGTACAATGGTTTTTACATGTTTTAAATTTTGTGATTCTAAGGGTTAGAAAGAGACATTTATAAATCCACTATTATATGATATATGTCTAACTACTGGATATGACTCATCAATATATTTAAACAAGAGCACCTAGGGTTTTCTCCATGTTCCTATCTGGTTTTGTTTTAGCAATGTGTTTTGATTGCCTATGTATCTTCTCCACCTTTTTATCATCTCAACTACAACATATTTCACATTAGTTTTCAAAAGGACGGCCCATTTAGGGTTTGACCCACTCCCTACGATATTTAAAACAGGACCGTACATAACGTCATTGTTCTCGCTCGTTTTCTACCGTAACATCTATTTTATATCCCCCTTAAGGTGGCACGGTAGTATTTCCTGGACCATAAGGGATAATGATAGCCTTTTTAGAATTTTCACCACTTTCTAACACTGCTAAAAATTCTACATTCACAGTTAACTAAAGTACTTTCATTTTACTATTCAGAAATGAATTTGAATATGTATCATGACCGTTTACTTTTTTTGCTATCTTTAAGAACCTAAGGCCACTAGTGCTTTTAGGTCTTTTATCGTGCAGTGAATACAAAATTTAAAAAATTTCTAAAAATTCATTTTCATCTGTATGTAAAATTATTTCATATTTTTCTTCACCTGATTCATCCCTCAGTTTGGGAAAGTATGTTCAGTTGATACTGTATTTTTTGTCCAATCATAAAACAATTAATGACATTTGCATGGAAAATGAATAAATTATTTAATCTTGCTGATAAACAGTCATAATTACATTCTTTGTCAAAAAAAAATGTCTTGTCAGTGTAAAGAAACCCCTATTGCTATCTCTATTTCAGCTAAATATGAGGGCTAATTGAATAAGTAAGGACCCCTTAACCACTTGCTGGTTCCAAAAAAGCTGATAATGGTGTCATGTTACCACAGAACTACAAATTAAACCTAAAGAAAACTAGTAAAGCTGTACTTGTGTGGAAAAAAATAATAAATTATGGAATTTATTTCTTTCGGTGAAAATGTTAGGACGTACATGTACAGGCAAAAAAGAAATATGTCGCGTCTCAAATTCCAGTGGTTGCACATGTGTTAGACACTACGAAAAGTTAAAGCGAGCATTTATAATTAAAAATGTATTGCAAGTTACATAAAAATAATGAATTTCTACTTTCTAGGTAAATTTTTACTTTATTACCCACAGATCAGGCAAAATTTGCTGAATCAGCAATTGTCACTCCCAGGGGTGGAATTTAAGGGCTGTTTTTATCATAGTTGCCCTTAATCAACTTTTTATTGATAAACTTACAAATTGCATAGGTAAAAGAAATCCTTCATTGATTTAGTGTAAACATGTATATCCCCCTTAAGGTGGCACGGTAGTATTTCCTGAACCATAAGGGATAATGATAGCCTTTTTAGAATTTTCACCACTTTCTAACACTGCTAAAAATTCTACATTCACAGTTAACTAAAGTACTTTCATTTTACTATTCAGAAATGAATTTGAATATGTATCATGACCGTTTACTTTTTTTGCTATCTTTAAGAACCTAAGGCCACTAGTGCTTTTAGGTCTTTTATCGTGCAGTGAATACAAAATTTAAAAAAAATCTCAAAAATTCATTTTCATCTGTATGTAAAATTATTTCATATTTTTCTACACCTGATTCATCCCTCAGTTTGGGAAAGTATGTTCAGTTGATACTGTATTTTTTGTCCAATCATAATGTTCAGATACATTGACTTAAGTAGGGTACACAAAAGAGCAACCTAAATTCTGGAATGCAAATACTACCGTGCTACCTATAGCTTCAATTATATGTTTATTTTACCGTGCATCGCATGCATATTACTTGATCTATAGACACACAATAAATTTTTCCCAACATAATTTCATTCTTTTTCCTCTTTTTTTTGGACTCGTATAGGAATAAACTTTAAACCATAACTAGTCATTATCCGGAAATTTTTTTATCTCAAGGATTCGGTTAAACATTATAAAAAGTCAAACTTTAATCAACAAATATATAACTTGTGACTAAAATCTTAAGCAAAATATCCAAAAAAAGCACAGATCATGCACCAGATCACCTCGAAACTATCAAGTTAATTGTTGAAAAATACTGTATTCGAGTCATATGTTTTCTTGTTTTCGAAGAAAAATGCCTTTAATTCCTGCCGACTATAAATTAAATAAAGAATTGTATTTTATATATGTTTTCAGCATTCCGAGGACCCTTGATATATATAAAGAGACAAAACATTTATCTTTTTAAATTTCAAAAAGACAACCAAAACCATGAATTGAGGGGTACTCTGTAAAAGTGCTAAATTACAATTGCTAAATGTGACCAAAGAAACTTTTTACGACCAGACGAAAATAATAATATAGATATTATTCTATCTTTTTAAACAATTTCCAAGCGTGTGTTGTTCCGGTACATTAAACCCGTTAATAAAGCGTCTTTTTCCAGGTCAATTGCAGTGCTAAAAATGAACTGCAAAAAATATAGTTACTGTAAATATGTGTTCAACAGTATCTATAAGTAAGACTAAAAATGAAAGTCATTGTGATGAAGGAACAATTAAAGATAACGAAGATGGTATTTAGATGGTAAAACAAGAGAAATATGAATTCCATTACTTAAGGGCAATTACTCTTATGATGAGTGAACTGACATTACAGCTTTTTGACTTATTTGTAGATCTTGTTTTGTTGATCGTCTTTGTTAATTAGAGTTTGTATTTCGCTAATATGGTTTTTGCCCAAAATGCAAAAATGGGTTAAATCATAATTACAGGACAAAAACTTCTATTAGGAGTTGATTGACGATTTTGGCCATGTTGACTTGAAAATAGATCTACGACATTTATGTCATGAACACGAGACATACCGATCCTAGATTCCGTCGTCGGCGTCAGTGGCGTCAACATTTAGGTTCAGTATATAGTTAAAGTTTTTTGAGTCATCAATAACTTTGTCAAACCTTCATGGAAATTTATGAAATTTGGACAGAAGCTTGTTTATGACCAAAATACAACATTTAGAGCAAAATTTTGAAAACATTTATTTTCATTTTTTTCGTATTTTACTGATAAATGGACTTAGTTTTATTACATTTAGCATTCAGATTTAGTCTGAGGTTAAAGTTTTTCAGTCATCAATAACTTGTCAAACCTTCATGGAATTTTAGGAAATTTGGACAGAAGCTTAGTTGTGACCAAAATACAGTATTAAGAGCAAACTTTTGAAAATATATATTTTCATTTTTCCGTATTTAACTGATAAATGGACTAAGATTTACATTTAACATATAGATGCAGTCTGAGGTTAAAGTTTGTTACATATTAATTACTTTATCATACCTTCATAGAATTTTATGAATTTTTGGCAAAGCATTTTTATGATTAAGAAATAATGTCTGAAGCAAACTTTTGAAAATATATTTTTTTTCATTTTCAGTGTTTTTCTGATAGATGGACTTAACTTTTTACAGTTAACATTTACAGACAGTCTGGGGTTAAACTTTTTTGACGTGATAAATTGTAAACCTTCATTGATTGTTATGAAACCTGGACAGAAGCTAAAATTAAATCTTCAAATTTTCAAGGCCATGAAATAGCATCTAAAGAAAAAGTTTGATTTTTTTTTTAGTTCTTTATTTTACTGGTAAGTTTTATCATTACACTTTTACACTGACAGCAGCAATCGCAGGCGAAACACAGAGTTCCGCGGAACCCCTTACGAAATTTTGTTATTTAAAGTTTCTTTATATCTATTATAGTTTTCAAGGTATTATAGGCAAAATTCAAAAATGGTCATTTACGGGCAATAACTACTATTAGGAGTCGACTGGGGGTATTTTTGCCATTAAAAGTTTAGCTCTGTTTATTGTAGTTTTCAAAAAAAAACCTTTGCTTATTTGTTAATCTTGAATTACTAATCATTTTATTTTCTTTAAAGGTTCTCTCTATTTATTATAAGTATCAAGATAATAGAGCAAAACACAAAAAATTGGAAAACGTCGTCATTTAAGGGCAGGGAGATCTCTTTATTCTGAACATATCTGCCCTTGTCAGAATTTTCTATCTATATAAAAAGAAGGAGATGTGGTATGATTGCCAATGAGACAACTATCCACCAAAGTTCAAATGAGGTGGGTGTAAGCAATTATAGGAAACCGTACGTACACTATAACGTTTTACAAGATAATAGACAATACTTGCATTTGCCATTATGTTCTATTCTTAGCGTTGGCGGACATTTGGTTATGCGGCTGGATCACCGGACACATTTATAAAACTAGATATCCTCAGTTTGGTTTTATTTGGCCCAGTAGTTTCAGAGGAGAAGATTTTTGTTAACGGACGGTGACGACGAATGCTAAGTGATAGCAATAGCTCACACTGACCCTTTGTGCCAGGTGAACTCAATACTGCAGTTAAATTATTTGGAATAAATTTTAAAAGTGGGAAAGGGAATTGTTAACATCAAGGTATATTTTGAGTTTGGCAAATTATCGTTGTATGAAACGTACGTTATATATACGAAATGCCAACAAAGAGAAATCTGCAGAAAACCCGATAACCTATGTTTGTTACTTGAGGAGACCATCGACAAGTTAGAGCAACCGTTATCTGTGAAAAATGTCAACCAGCCTAACAACCTTGGATACTATATTATTGTTTTCTTTAGAAAAAAAAACAAAAAAAACTCAAATGGTTAAATTTTCAAATTTTTTTATAATATGTTTGTATGTCAACTACGCTCCGCTCCATTTATTTATCATTTTATAATCTATGCATTCATAGTGCATAATAATGTGTATTGTCTTTTGAATGTTTTTACTTTAAAGACAATAAGCTGTGACAGCAAATAAAACATTATTATAACAAATATATTCATAAAGTGATTACTAATTTATTCAAACAACTGAAATATCTGAACGACTTCAACTTAAACTTACATAATGCAGCATCATCTAGTCTACATTCTGCACATAATATGTTACTATAGACGACTGGCCATTTGTATATAAATCTTCCAAGTAGATGAAAGGAATTTATTGGGTTTTCTGCATATCTTGGATTTTGACTGCTGTCTGTTACGGCTGATTCTAGGTCATTTAATAATCTAAAAAAGACGAAGTCAAAATCCGATTGATATAAAATGTTTTGTTTGTAAATTCCCGGTTCATAAAGGTTTTAATTGTGCTTTAAAAGATTGCTATTTAGACAGTAACTGGAAACAGCAAACATAATCAACAATACAAGACAAAATTACCGAGACAATCAATTGTATCCTTTATACAAAAACAGAAACTTTAAAGAGCAAAACCTATCATAACTTAAGTTATTCACTGCTTAGTGCCATCTACAGACAATTTACCTAGTATTTACATTTATTAAAATAAAACTATAAAATTAACGATACCAATTTTTATCGACCAGATCTACAACTATTATATTTAAACCAAACTTGACTGATCCTAAGTCATGCCGAGAAAGGACAGCCCGAAATGCTCCTTTTCTATATCAATAATAAACTATACAAACTATGTAGCCAAGGTATCTGTCACACAACGTACATCGCTAACTGGAGATGACCAGGATATTTAAGAACGAACTTACGAAAGCGTAACTTGACGAATCGTACGAAACGGGAGCTGCTGTTTTATACATAGTAATATATAATTCTAACATAAAAACGCTGGTTGAAGTATGGTAATTCGCATCGTCTGCATGTAGTTTAAAGAAGATATTACCTGTATCTGTATCTAACTCCTAACATTAATATTTCAATGTTTTCTACAATAGCAAATGGTACAATCAGTATCCAAGACTCTGTTTTGAAAATTGAGGTTCCAGAAGGGGTTTTAATGAGTTTTAGGGATAAGAAAAGGGTGATAGCATAGATTGAAGTTGATTTGATTGATGATCAATACGTATATAACTTAACGAAATCGTTTCCACTTATCAAAAGTTATAAATAATCTAAGGTGTGTTATTGGGGACTTGTCATTTTCTTTCATTGGGAAAAGAGGGGCCAGGGGGGAGGGGGTAGGAAACATCTGGATTTCTCTTATTTTTTTCAAGTCCCCACCTTGAAGAAGAAAAACAAATTCAAAAGACATGAAAATTTCAACCCCCCCCCTTTTCAACACATTTCAATAATTTTGTTCTTTACAAAAAAAAAGTACATTTTCTATTTATGTTATTATTATTGGAAATAAAGCTTCAAGTGGAGAAGTTGTTTGTGACTACAGGAAACTTTATCTAGATATGCCTGTATTGTTCCCAGTGACATAACACACCTTCTTTCAATTTCAGAACATTGTTCCTATAATTCTTTATACAAAAAGTTAGTGACTTAGCTTCAGATAAGAATACTTTCCTGGAAGAACATGTTGAAACTTATGATGTTTTTCTAAACAATTGAGTCGAGCGGAGCGAGGTGAAAAAATGTATGTCTATCCTGCCAAAATAAATATATTTTCTTTATTGTAAGGGGAATCGTTGGGTGTTGGTCGCCTGACTCCATATATCCAGGTCATAAAGGAAATTTATTCACGTTAAGACGTATTAACAATGCCACACTTGACTCGTAGATATCATCTTGAGCCATCGAAATATATACTCAGTCATGAGTTTTGCGATTAATCATGTTAGGAAACAACTTATGATATAATCAGTGTTTTATTATATGGAAAGGGGTATAATATTAAGAAAACCTAAAAAAAAAAAAAAAACCTGGAAGACATCAAACCATTATTCCCTATTATTGTCATTATCCATGTCCAACAAACAAAGTTTAAGCCAAAAATTATGACACAATAATTAAAGATATGACATTTGAATCAAGTGTTAGACACTTCTGTTGAATAATCAGATACTGATTTAGAGTATATTCATCATATTAGCTATAATTTGTTCATGTTTAAAATACAGAATAGCTTAAATCTTGTAAAAAAAATTTCGATGCCCCCCATCTGAAGTATTGAAAAATTTAATACGTCCCCTTTCCATTCCCAAATATTTTCGAGGCCCCCCTTAATCCCCCCTTTTCAGGATGCAAATGACCAGTCCCTTTGGAAGAACAAAAATACCCTGTTTTCCCCCATGAGTTGAGCAAAACTGAGAGGTATTATATCAAAATTCCGAAATAAACAAAGGTTGACGTACCATCATCTAAATAATATTTCTTCAATCATATTATTTGCTTTCTGAGTATTTTGAGAAATCAATGATATATCAAATACTCAGATCGGTGAAACGTACTATAACAATCTAGGCAATTGCATGTGTACCAAACAAACGATGTCAGACGAAGTATGTTGCGGTCCATAAATTGGTCTTTGGACTTTATAAATTTTAATCCTATCCAGTATGCACTAAATCATTGCATCTTCTCTGACATAGTCATATATCCATACTAAAATGTTGTTTTAAGTATGGATAGTAAAATAAGGGGTTGTAACAGAGTTGGTAAATGCACTCGAAACTAGGTCAGACATACGCAGTAAAAATAGATAAGTGGTATAAGCATAGAAAATTGAATATTCAAATCAATAATAATTCATAAATATTAAACACAAAAAAAGGGGGGGGGGTCTACCCCATAAGCGCCTGTGGTCATTTTGACATGTATGTTTTCCCTTCTAAATAGTTGTAAGGCTTTAAAATTATTTTTAATGTCTTCGTATGCGTTATTAATGGACCAAGTATGTTTTTTGTCTAGTTAACTCCCTTAAAAAAATTTTATTTACTCTTATAACCAGTTTTTTTACACTAAAAAAGTTTTGCCATTGTTAGAGGTTGACAGAAATCATTTTTTTTTCAATTGGTACAAAACACTATAGGTTTTCTTTTTTTTTATTATAAACTGATAGATTTGTTTGTCTGAAACTTGAATACCCAATTAAAAACACAGAACAAACATACGTTCCGACAACAATAATTTCATAAATTATTTCAAATCATCAACATTCTTCATTTATATTTGTTTGAACATTGCAAAAGTCGTCGGTGTACATTTCATCATGCTTTCAACAATAACAAACAACCCATATGTATCGTAAGATATGTAACACTTTCGGAAATTTTTAAACGTCTTTCACTTATATTATGAAAACCTTTTTTTAAAATCGGTATATTTGATGCATTTCTATCTATTAACGTGATTACATCCATGCAAATACACTTTAAATATGATAAAATCTTTTAAGTTTTAAGATAACCGCTCCTATTACGCTCGTTCGTCAAGATATGTTCGTTCGTCAAGATCCTGGTCATCTCTACATAGACAATAATAGTGCATCAACGATATAATGATGAGGCTTAGAAACGGGGAAATGCGAGGCTCTGCCGAGCTTTTTCCCCGTTTCGGGCCGAATACTTGTATCGTTGAAATGTCAAGTCAATGCACTATTATTGTCTTTATACTGCAATCTAGAAAAACACATTTCCAATTGTTGTTTAATGTGTTAATGTTATTTATTTGATTTAAAAATTGGGAAAAATCCCCCTCTTAAAAAGGCCTCATATCAGGCGGAGAAATATACAACACAATGAAATGTACATTACCTGTTGAAACCCGCAGTCGAAGGTGAACGAATTCGTTTGAGTATGGACTAAAATATCAACAATAAGCATAAAACATAATGATTTATAGGTTTAAAATAAAAACGATTAACAAGTGAAATATGTTTATAAATATAATATCCAAAAATTGTAAAAGAAATAAGTTTGAGTCGTTCCACGCTTCGCTTCGTTGTATACATTGGAAACAAGAACAGGTTGAAGAGGTCCTATGAATAATTAAATATAGTTTCGGCAACTTCTATTTAAATATTCATGAGGAAAAGTGATATCAGGTCAGTGACAACGCATTTTGACTGCTCAAATAGAACGAGTGCAGTATAATACAGTTTATCAACGCAAGTCAAATGATAGTCGCTAATGCAATAAATTGTAGTTCGAATAATTTCACACGTATACTTAAATACACGTGCAGGATTCTGCCATGCAGTTTCTTTTTGTGTTAATAGGGAATTTATATTTTAGTTTGGACTTTGAGGCAGCAGATACTCTGTTAACTAATTAACTGTTTGTTTTTTTTTACCGATGACATTGTTTTGTTAGGAAACACGGAAGATGAGCTACAAACTCCATTAAACATAGTACATAAATTTGCTTCAAAATGGAACTGAAAGTTAAACTCAACAAAGTTGAAAATTTGGTGACGGATAAAAAGAAAGACTCAAATGGAAAGTAGTACTTAGGAGATGGTCTCATTGGAGAAATCAATGAATATAAACATTAAGCGTACATTTTTCAAGATCAAGAGCAGTATCTGAAAGACATTTCTAACGGAAAATCAATCATGCTATTCGTATTTTAAGTGAACAAGCGGATTTTAATATGTGAAGTTAGCAGCCGGTTCGTTATTCGATATTCGATATTCAATATCCAACCGGCTGCTAGCAGTCGGTTGGATATTCAAAATTTAGTTGAAAATCATAAAAAAATTAAATACTTGATAACATTAAAGGCAAGATTTTCATAGTTAAGAGGACTGATAAGATGCGTAGGAAATCGTTTAATGACCTCTTCAAGCTGTCGTAAATTCTCGAATATAAATATAAACCCGTTTCTAAGTTGCATATTTGTCTTTATGTAATATAGATTTTTATCAATAAAACAACTTCAAATATGTACTTTTATATATGATATTTCTTAACACAAAAGGAAAAACCTATAACTCTAGAAACATTTAGAAATATAAATAGAAATATTTATGGAAAGCCCAAAAAAGAAATATATAGTGAAAACCTACCTGACACCGCTTAAATGAGGGTGAGACCCCCCTGGTCTTTCAATGGCCATAACATTCAACTTAATCATAGACTCTGTATATGTAAAGGTTGTATTAGAAGGATTTTCCAGAATAATGTCATCTTCGATATCTACGGAGGGCTTAGATTGTCACTTTTCAGCTAAAAATTGTCAAAATTTTAGGACAAAGGGCACAGGGCAATGGTGAGAGCCCCCTGATCTCTCCATCTTTCTAATATTATGCAGACATTTAATTAATAGGTAGATACATACGTGACTAAAAGGAATTTGGGTACACTT